TGGCATTTTCTTCCCACTATGGACAAAAAAACTTAAAGCACTAAGCTTTTCTGATAGTACAAAAGCGCCTCTCTAACTTGCCTCCGGTCAGCAGACTCATGAGAAGAATTTTCAGTTATGTCAAATCCACAGTGATTTCAGAGTTCCAAAACACAGAATGAATCTGTTTAGCTTGGGGGTGGGGGGTGCAAAAGAACAACATTCCTGAAAAACAACTGACTTGGGGCTGGTGTGGGGCTGAACAATAAAAACAGAAACAAGTAACTGTTTGGTTAAAGTTGAGTCCAAAATATCAGAGCAAAGCTCACACCATAATCATGAACAAAGCAATACCATCTTCTGACCCAAGACTGTGGAGAGAGTCCGGCTCTTAAGGAAAATGGGCTTTGTCGTGAAATTCATTGAACAAAATTCTATTGTCTAAAACAGGCAAGATGGCTCCTCCTTCTCGGCAGCCTGGGCACTGAGAACACAGGACAGGGATTAGAAGACATTTATCTCCAGGACTGACTCAGCAGAGAGCAGCCAAACACACAAGGACTTCATGCAGCACAGATTCTGGCACGACAAGTGCCAATAACATTTACTCTGGAACTCTGTCAGACTGCAACCATATTTAGCAGTCTTTTTAAATTTAACTTTTTAAGTGGAGGGGGCAAAGCTAATTCTGAAGTTCCTGTGAGCATCTGGTTTGCTTTTGAAATAAGGCCTTCACCAGAATTAAATCCTTTTTGAACCAAAGAAAAATGTTGGTGCTGAACCTGGAAAATTTGCCCACTTCCTTGGGATGAAACTACTTCTGACCATAGGGGAAGGGGAAAGCCAGAAGGACCTGGATCTGTTGACCACTTAATTCTCATCCCAGAGGTGGGCTGCAAGGTACAAAACAACACTTTGCTCCCCTCATAAATCTGCTTTATCTCCATAGGGTACCAAAAATTGAGTTCGAGGATGTTTCAGCACTTTCCTGCTTGTCCAAAACAAGCTAATTCTTACAGGATTGTTTCTGTTTGCCTCTTCTGCACTTAGCAGCACATGCTTGAGTGACTTCAAAATCCTAAAACCCAAAAACCTTAAGAAAAAGTGGAAAGGAGAGGTCAGTGAGGGAGGAGCTCATTAGTAAATAGCTCCTGGAAGTAGGGATGGTTTCATCTCCTCTTGAAGGAAGAAAGAGGACGAATGTCTTCTCTGGCTTAAGTCAAGGCTTCAGGCTTAGTAGTTAAGTTAGCTCCGGTTGCTGAGCCTTTCTCTTCCCAGTGGCACTCAAGTCACTTCATCTTCTCCAGCCTCTCCAGATCTTAACGTACCCCAGGACTCTCAATCTAAATTGGCCTAGTACCAAGTGTTTTATTTACATTCTATAAACAGCACTGGGTGCTACTGGAAAAAGCCCAGTTCGGGAGGCCGGCCTGGCTCCGTTCCTTACCAGTTGTGTGACCTTGGATAAGACGGTGTCTTTGTTGGGCCTCAATTTCTTCTTCTAACAAATTAAATACAACCAGGGCCAATGGGTTCTTTTGACCAAAATAACGCAAGAATTCTAATCAACTAACAGTGCCAACAACACATATCAAGACCCTATGCCAAGCTAAAGAATTCGTGCAACAATGGGACTGTGAACAGAACTGCACAAAGTCAGAGCTCAGAGGAACCTTAGAGGCATGTAGTCTAAACAAGAATCTCAATTAAATGTATTGATCAAAGGGCCATCTAACCTTTGCTTGGAAATCTCGAGAGAGGAACAGGGGACACAACCCACCCCTTCCCAAGACAGCCCATTCCACTCACCTCTGTTAGGAGGCATTTTCGATCAAGCCAAAATCTGTGCCTTGCAACCTTTCTCTACTACTCCAAGTTTTGCCTGCCATGGCAAGACAGGACAATTCTAACCCCTCTCCCATATTACAGCCCTTCAAATTCTTGTGTATACCATGCCCTCTGGAATTCCTATTCTGTAATTAGCGAACTTCCTTCACTTTAGACCTCTGTTTCATAAACATGTTTTACCTCCTGATACTCACTGGTATCTCCTTTCCATGACTGTCTGCACTCTCTCTCATACCTACCCGCCAACATGCTGGTCCAACAGAACAGTACTATCAAACTCAAATAGAAACAAAGGTCACTTAACCACATGTAAGGATCTCTGCAGACTATATAGTGACTTATAAAACCACATATTAACATAATCTGCTTTATTATATTTTTATTTACTTTGTGAAATATTTCCCAATTATATTTTCATCTGGTTTAGGGCACATTTGGGAATATTGTGAACCACATGCAACCAGCAGTCACTGTTTGACACCTCTTCTATAGAGGGAGTCAGAATATTCCTTGTTTTCTGTCCCTTCCAGACTTTCCCATTGTTGTCATCGTTCAGTAATATCCTCACCTTTGGGGTTCATTGCACCCATATCTATCACCTCATCCAAAGAGTGATGGCTGTTACTTACTGGCCCTATGATTTTCCTTCCTTTCTCAAGCAGTTCAGAACCTAAGTTACAGTGTTCCTCTGCATCCATCCTGCTTGCCCCCCCAATCGTCTATTGCCATTTCAACTCTCTCTATGCCTTACTCTCCTTACACCTATTCACCTTTACTATCATCTCCAATCCCTCTACCTATTAGTACTTTCCCAGATCATAACCCCTCCTCTTGCTCTACTTTCTTCTCTTCCCAATCTGAACCCTTTCTATAACTAGTTTAATTCCACAATATCATCTACTCTCCAGTCCCCTCTTGCCTTTTCCTGTGATTGCTCAGGCCTTGCCAAATCCTATTCCTGAATTTCTCACACTATCTTCCTCCTCCATGTCTACTCATAAGCTGCTAAAAAAGTAGAGGAAATCACATAACCATGCTGAAGAAGTTCACTACAAATTTATGTTATTTAATCTCAAATGGGTCCTCACTGCAGCAAGGTAATCTTTTTATTCCTCTTGAAGTCATTCCCTACCTCACTTCTCCACAGAAGATATTCCAAAGTTTTTCTGCTTTCCTCAAACCCCTTCCTTCTCAGTCACTCTCCAGTCTGTCCCTAGTTCACACCAGCAGGCTGGCCCCTCAGAGGTGTCCCCAGAGCTTAACCTACTTCCCAGCATATAATAAGTGCTTAATAAATCCTCTGTCTCTGTCTCTGTCTCTCTCTCAAACCTGCCACCTTCCCCTTTCTCCTTAACTAACACTGGCCTCCTTACTGATTCTCTCACAAGATACTCCCTTTCCTGACCCTGGGGATTTCCCCTGGGATCTCCCAAGCCTAGAATTCTCTCTCTCCTCCTCTATGCCTACTGGCTTCCTTCCAATCTCAGCTAAAAGTCTACCCTCTACAAGAAGTCTTTAGCAATCCCCTTAATTCTAGTGCCTTCTCTCTGCTAATTATTTCCAATTTATCCTGAATATAGTTTGTTTGTTCATGGTTGTTTACATATTGCCTTTCCCATTAGGCTGTGATCTCCTTGACAGCAGGACCTATTTTGGAATGTTTTTTGTTTTGTTTGTTTGTTGGGGGTGGGGGTGGGGGGGATATCCCTAGTGTTTATCCAGTTTCTGGTACAGAGAAGATGCTTAATAGATGCTTCTTGGCTTGAATGGGAAAAGCCTCAAAAAAGCTGCTATCCACAAGGGAGAAAAAGTGTTGTGCCAATCCTGGCTACAGACATGCTAAAGGACCCTGGTACAATGAACAATGATGCCTGCCAAGAAGCAGATTCTGATGAATAACAAATGCTCTATGATAATTCCCCTCATTCAACAAACATTCCTTAAGTACTTAATATAAACAAGGCATTCTGCTGATGGTGAGGGATAAAAGGATGAAATATGCACATATGCAAAAAAGTATGCTACGAGAAAAAACACCACACTAGGGGCTGGGAAGTTGTTGACCTTGCTAATTATGTTGAAGGTTGGACTTCTGTAACAGTGTGAAGGCTCTTTTAGCAAAATGCTCCATCATCTCCTCATATTTACCAAGCACCTACCAAATGCCTATCACTTAATGGGAACTTTGGGGACCTGAGGAGCAGAGAAAAAATAACTAGCTATTTTTGTATTTTCGCCAATATTGAAATCAAGTCTCCTATGCAATCGATGCTGAGTCTGTGGGGGATGCAAGGAAGTATAAGCAATTGGCCCTACCCTCAACAAGCTTGTTTTTACCAAACTGGGAAAACACACAAAAAAACAACAAGATTTGGGAATACACGTGAGAGGCTGCCTGGTGGAGTGGGCAGAACGCTAGACTTGGAATCAGAAAGTCCAGGCCTGAGTTGTGGTCGTGACATTGACTAAGCTTGCTGGCTTTGTGGTTGTGCCGTCATTTCAGTTGTGTCCAACTCTCCGTGACCCCAGTTGGGATATTCTTGGCAGACATACTGGAGTGGTATGCCATCTCCTTCTCGAGCTCATTCTATAGATGAGTAAACTGAGGCAAACAAGTGACTTCCAGGGTCACACAACTAGGAAGTGTCTGAGGCCAGACTTGAAGTCAGGAAGATGAGTCTTCCTGGCTCTAAGCCCAGCTCTGCGCACTATGGCACCACCTAGCTGCTCCAACCTTGCAACTGTTTCCCTATGTGTAAAATGAAGGAGTCAGACTTGATATAGCATCATTTCCTATTCTACCATTCTATGTGATGGAGGCAAAAGAAGAGACAGGAAAAGTGTCAGGATAAATACGAGAGGAGGAGGACAGGGAGAGATGGGGCAGAAGTGAGCGCACACTACAACAGGGGAGTCAGGGGGAAGGGGGAGGGCAGCACCTGCATAGATATTTTATGAGTTAGCTCTTAAAGAAATGAAGCATCTTCCCAAGGCAGGTGGGGGTGCGGGGTAGAGGAACTGTTCCCATTGAGGGGACCAGCAGAATATTATCTTTAAAGGGCTCATCAGAAATCACTATCTTGTCACTTTAAAGGTAAGAAATAGAATTCACTCTTTTCTAACTTCCCAAAGGAAAATCACACCTCGTTGCCATTGAACACATTCTTACATACCTTTGGAGAATGCCATTTTCTTGTGGGATTACACCATTGATAGCTGCCTGTAAACAAAAGACACAAACATCCATGTGAAAGAATAGTCAAAATATCCTAAAGATAAAATATCACAAAGGGAAATCCGCATGTTTTGATGGAACTTATTTTAAGCAAGAAACCAAACGTGTCCTTAATCATGTAACCACACTCAGTTAGGGCTTCTCTGACTTCTATCACAAACTCCTCTTCTCCGCAGACAAAAGCCAGGAACTCGAAATGTAATGTTTCCAAAACTGCAGCCATAAAAGGCTTGATTCTAGAGTCCTCATTTAGGCAAAATCTGTACTGACCAGGGCTGTACTGTGTGATCAAGTCCAATGGGAGAAGTAGAGGAAAGAAGCTTTCTTTAAACCCAACTTCACTCCTCAAAATTGGCTGAAGAGAGATGGGCAGGGAAACCAAGCTGTACCCAGTAAACAACACAAGTAAAGCCAAATATGGGTATACAAAGAGAGGTGTCCAACCCCCTCATTTTATATAGGAGGAAAGTGAGATTCAACACAGGGGAAAGCTTTAGCCCAGAGTCACATGGGAACTAAGTAGAAGAATGAACACTTGAAACCAGGCCTTTAACAACCCTACGAGGGAAGGAGCCCAGATGTCATGACCATATTCTAAGGAGGAAACAGGCCTAGCTCAAAGCTCCCAGCTCTTTCCACCACACAGCTCCTAGCACTGCTCTTGACACAGAGGCATTTAATAATACTCCGCTCGGACACAAGGCTGGCAGGAGACTCATGGGAAACAAGAGACCCTCAGTAGGGCCACAGCAATAAGTGTGACAGGTATGGGAGCTGTATGGCACCAGTGTGATGCCAGGCCCTGAAGGCTACTTTATAATAAGACTTGGAGATGTAAGGGAACTGAAAGATTATCTACAACAACTCCCTCAGTTTACAGATGAGAAAAATGAGGCCTTGAGAGAAGAAGGGATCTGCTTACCATCAAAGCCACAAAGCAAAACCCCAAGCTTTCTGACTCAAAGTCAAGTGTTCCTACCACTGCCTGGCACCGCAAGCAGACCAGCCCAGGCTGCAGGTTTGTTGGAAACCAATGGCTGCAGCCAAACTGTGCCTGCTTCCCTCTCAACTATCAACCTGGCAAATGGAAGACTTTGTAAAATGGTCACTCTAACATTTGCCAGAGGTAGAACCTTCTACCCTGCCCTTATTACTGAGCCAAAATAGAACAAATCCTGGCTGGCCATCAATTGGGGAGTTAATACAAATCATACAGAGGCAGAGCAAGCACACCACAGGAATGCTGGTAGACCAGAAAGCTGTGACAGACATCACTTTCCAGTATCCTTGCAGAGACAGAATGATCAAAGGCCAGGCCTGGACACTTGTGCCCAATCTGCTGTCAGCAAGTTCCATTTGACACAATCCTTCCCCTCAACTCTCACTTTTCTTAAAAAAGCCCATCCTCTATTTCTTACTGCTCCTTACATATGCCATCTCCTACCTCTGAACCTTTGTAAGGCTATCACCGCATGCCACAAAAGCACTCCTTCAGCACTTTAGGTTCTTACACATCCCAAGTTTCCTGCAAGGATTAGATCAAGCACCACCTTCCACATGAACCCTTTCTTGATCCAAGACCTGGATCTTGATCCTTTCCTGATTTCCTAATCCCCTCTCCAAAACCAGGGGCTAAGGTCTTCCCCCCAACAAATCCCCTTTCATCCATTTTGCCTAGACTGATGTACCTATGTTATCCCGGACTAGAATATCAGGTCTAGAATATGAGGACAAGTGCTGTTTTATTTTTGGCTCTGTACCCCCAGAACCAAGTACAGCACCTGGCATAAAGCAGATGCCTGACAAATGCTTATTGATTTGGATGATTGATCATTGAGGGTCAGATGGCCTAAAAGAGGAATTTAATTAATTTTCAAATTAGTTAATTAAAATTAATAATTTAATTAATTAAAAGAAGACAGATTTTCACTGGTGAGATCTAAAACCACAACCTCTACTCTCTCAGTTTCTTCCTCAGTAAATGAGGGAGTTAGCTAAGATGATTTCTACAGTCTCCTCCAGCTCTAATATTCTATAATTCTAAGATGAAGATAATAAGGTAAGGGCAGGAGGGATGACAAAGGCCTGGTCTCAGATATTAACAGAACTGGAGAGAAATGATCAAATTCTAGAAACTTTTCAAATATAAAAAGAAATCAGCAGAGCATCATTTTTCCAACAGACATTCACAGACTTCCAATGAAAGAGAATCATTATCTGCTTCCCAAATGCATTTTAATAGAGATCTGATTGTTAGGATTTTTTTTCCCTGACCACAATCTCAAACATGCCTCTGGGTAACCTCCTAGTTGAGGTTCTAGGGGCCATGCACATCTGCCTAAATCCTCTTCCACAGAAAAGCCCTTTATTATTTTATAGCTAAGAAAACTGAGGTGAGGGTCAGCTAGGTGGTACAGTGGACAGAGCGCTGGCCTTGGAGTCAGGAGGACCTGAGTTCAAATATGAGCTCAGACACTTGACA